GTGCAGTAAGCTGTAGTTTTACGTCCAATGGATGCATGATCTGATTAGTCGACTAATCGCAAAAATAATCGGTGACTAGGCGACTATCAAAATAATAGTTTGTGGCAGCCCTAGTACTGATGCTGTTTCTCAATGCCATAGTACTTAAGCAGTTTTCTGCCAGAAACCTTAGTTAAAGATATATTTCAAATAGATTAATAGTGGCTGCAAGTTGATTTAGTTAAACCAGTAGATTAGATCTACTGATTTTCATCACAATGTGTGCTTCAATGGAAAAGATACAACTTTATTAACAGCAATGCAAACTGTTGGTCTGCTGTAAATAGTTTTTTGGGCCAGCCATGTTTTCTTTTGTCCTCCAATTGCAGAGTTTCCTCATTTTAAAAAAGAAAAAGAAAAAAAAAAGAAACTGCACACCATGCTGATATATGCCAAGTCTTCAGCTGATAACTTGGGAGTCATCTTGTTGGTGCACAAATACTATTCATTGTCCATCAAACTATGTTATCTTTGGTCTATTTCATAGATTTAACTAAAGAAATCTGAACCAACTGTGTATTTTTGAGACAGACTCCTTCTAAATGTCCAAAAAACAACTTTGAAAGGCTTTCACAAAACCTGGAGAACTATTGCTCAAGACTATTTAAAAAAATAACAAGAAAGTCTGTCTCATTGGACGAAAACTAAAAGGAAGTGAGGGGTAGCTCAAGGCCATAGTAGGTCAGAAGTATCAAGTGTTATCTCCTGCACGTGTTCATAATAAAATAATTCTGCCAATGATTGACCCAAAATTCCTGACAATTAAGACGCTATATAAGGCTGGAACTAAGACAGAAACAACAGTAAACTGGACACTATTGTTGCTGCTGACCTTCCTGCCAACAGCCAGGCTTCAAACATAGTCTGACAATAAAATTATTCCACAGTTAACGGAAACTGGATCGCAGGAGAGAGGACAAGCAAATGCTTCTGATCAACAACACAACTGTGTTACTGACGTCAATTCTGTGCTGAGAGAGATGAGTGCCTTTTTGGGTGAATTGAAGGTTGAAGTGAGATACTTGCGAGAAGACAGTGAAGGTAAAGTATAATTTGTGGCCTGAGGATCCATTTA